GTCGCTGGGGTATATTTGTAGCAATAGCCAAAAATACATTGTATGGGTCAAAATTATAGATTTTTCTTTTATGCCAAATCATTAGGATATTAAGTAAAGATCATGTTCCATGAAGATATTTTGTAAATTTCCTACTGTAAATATATTAAAACTTAATTTTTGATTTGTAATATGCATTGCTAAGAACTTAATTTGCACAACTTTAAAGACGATTTTCTCAATATTTTGATTTTTTTGCACCCTCAGATTCCAGATTTTCAAATAGTTGTATCTCGGCAAAATATCGTCCTATCCTAACAAACCATGCATCAATGGAAAGCTTATTTATTCAGTCGGAAAATTGACCCTTATGTGTTGTTTTGTGGTCCAGGGTCACATATCTGCATTTGAACACCATTAAATGGACCTCACCCTTTTCCCCATTGTGCATATTTTTCATCCTTCTCTGCTTTTTCTCCTGCTTTCTTGCCAAGCTCAACTCTCTCTGACTCCAGGTCGCGTGTCCTACCCGACTTGTCTCGAAATATTGTCTCTGCATTTCTTGATGCCTCTGAAAAAGTAAAAACATTAATAATGCTCTTGTAATTAATGTTAGGAAAAAAAACAACACTGTCGAATACACATTATCAATTGCTTTTCAAAAGACCTTCAAGAGGCTGGTTGCGCTTTTCCTTTTTGCGAATTTCTTCCTGTTCTTTCCTCAAAATGTCAACAGAGACGAGCCCTGCAGCTCCACCAGACAGCATTCGAGGGGCCTGAAAATGAAAATGGTAAAAGTCTTAAAGGGGACATCAGATACAAAATGATGTTTGCATATAAATGCAGTGACACAACCACTCTACAGTGATAATCCATTCACTCCTTTTTTTTTTTAATCCACTAAAAAACCTAAACAGTCTCAATTACCAAGCCATTTTGGCCCCGCCCACGACTGCTTATGAACTGTCCCGAATTTGCATATTGTTTTGTTTTTGACTTGTAACACGCCACCAAATACACAAAAAAAAAATGGAAGGGTGGGGTGAGCAGTAGCACATTATTTAAAGAGACATGCACCGAAACAGGTCGCTGTGAACTGAGCTGTTTTTGAAAAGGTAAAAGGGTGTTTTACACGACTTTTGAGGAATTTTAACCAAAGTATGTTGCAGACATTTCATGAAGACCCTAAAGAATCATACCAACTTGTGGGAAATGGGCATCTGATGTCTCCTTTAACATAATTATCCATGCTTCAACTTCAATTTTTAATAATGAATAGAAAAATATGTAAATATGTTGTATTTTTTGTGTGGGATCCATTGAAAAGTTAATTATTTTATGAACGCTGTCAATAATTTTATACACAAAAGGGACATTTCTTAAAGCCACAACAACAACAAAAAATGTATTTTTAAGTGCCAGAGACCCTTAAAATGGTCATAATAAAATAACACTAACATTAATAATAAATGGCAATTAAATAATGCAATGTTTTATTTTGAAATGAATAATATTATACATTACTTGCTGTGCAATCAGTATTATTTAAAGCTGTGCTTCTTAATCCGTTTAACTCACTGTCCAACACAATAATTGAAGGCCCCCCATATAGGCTAAACTTTTTTCCAGTATTTCTGCTTTAACTGTGACAAAACTGCTTGTTTTCAAACTATTTTAGTAACACAAACTGGACGATTAAATAATATTAAATAAATCAACCACAATTAATTCTGCGAATGCAGAAGATTAAAAATATGTATATTCTTCAATAAAAAATGTTGTTGATGGATAAAAATGAAAAGAAATATGATTGCAGATTAAACTTTTTTTGTTACTTTTTTAGCATTTTTTTTTTTCAGTTAATTTATTATATGCAAAACTTATTTATTTAATACATTTTAAATCATCCTGCACCTCCTTTAAACAGGGTTGGGTACCGAAACCCAGTACCAATATGGCACCGGTACCTATGTAACCGGTATGTACTAGAACCGAATCAGAACGCAGATTTCTGTGCCTCATTTCAGTGCCATGCCGGAGCGGCTATAATAGCTATGTCTTTGTCCATATAAGGGATTTCCTGGAGTGTCATGAGTTCCGCTACTTATGTGACTGGATATGTGGATTTTCTGTGTGAGGGGCGCCCTCTGGCGTCCAGTATAAATGAAACAGACATAATTTGTTTATAGTGCTAATGGCCAATCCATCATTTTTTGGGGAATTTGTATTTATTTTTTAATAAGTATCGGTTCAGGCACTGTTTAGGCACCGGAAACGTTTTAAAAGTATCGATTTGGCACCGGTATCGAAAAAACCCCAATCGATACCCAACCCTACCTTTAAAGTTTTCTAGGGCCCTCAGAAGGCCCCAGCCCCTGGTTGAGAAAGACTGATATAAAGGATCCTCAAACATGAACCCTGAACTTACTGCCTGTCCATCAGGAGAGTGTGTCCTCCGTGGTGGAGACAGGTCTGAATCCGACCCACGTCCCCCCTGTGGCCTCTTCCTGGGAGGAGAGAGATCTGAATCTGAACCTCTTCCACCCTGGCCTCTCTTTCTGGGTGGAGACAGATCCAAGTCTGAGCCCCGTCCTCCACGAGGACATCTGCGTGGTGGGGACTGATCGGAGTCTGAGCCTTTGCCTGTTTGTACTCGTCTCCTAGGCGGTGAAAGGTCATCTGAGGTGGCAGCTTTTGTCTTTTTTCTGTGTGGAGACTCTGAAATAACAAATCATTTTTGAGCTACATAACTCACAGTGTAAATGCTGTTTCTGATTTGTGGATATATTTTTGTACCTTTATCATGCAGCCTTTGAGGTTTGAAGGGTGAGCTCTTGTGGCTCTTTCTTGGAGGGGAAGGTGATAAGGAATCATGCTGTCTGTTTTTGTTCTCGGCTCGGTGTCTCTGAGGTGAAAGATCTGGTGAGTCATGACGGCCTCTTCTCTGGGGTAAGAGATCCGGTGAGTCGTGTCGAGCCCTCTTAGGAGAGAGGTCAGGGGAAACGTGCCGCACGCTCCGTACAGGAGAAGTCTCCGGCGAGTCATGTCGAACTCTATAACCTCTGTCAGGATCAGAGCTAAACAAAGGAACATTTACTACACTCTCTATGCAGTAATGATTTTAAAAAGAATAAGAACTAAAGAGGAAGGATAGTTTCGTTATACCTTTTATCTGATGCAGAGTCCTGGGTTTCCTGGGGATCTCTCTCTGTTGCTACAATATAAGACACACATTTTTAGATGCATGTAAATTACCATTTATTTTTAACAAGTTAATACTTTTTTCAGCAAGGATGCATTCAATTGTCAAAATGAAACATTATAAATGTCTTCACTGTCACAAAACATTTCCATTTCAAATAAATGCTGTTATTTCTATTCATCAAAACATCCTGTATCATGGTTTCTAAAAAAAAAAAAAAGAATTAAGCAGTACAACTGTTTTTTAACATTCATAATAATAAGAAATATTTCTTGAGCGCCAAATCAGCATATTAGAATGATTTCTGAAGGATTACGTGACATTAAAGACTGGAGTAATGATGCTGAAATTTCAGCTTTGCCATCACAAGAATAAATTACATTTTAAAACATTAAAATAAAAAAGTTATTTTAAATTGTAATAATATTTCACCATATTAATTTTCTACTGTAGGCCTATTCCTGTAAAAAAATGCACCCTTGGCGAGACTTCTTTTAAAAACATTACAAGTTCTCAACTTCTTCTTGAGGTACACAAAGCTTCTAGCAATCCAGTAGTTATTAACACTATTAAGACTTGGCTTCAATTTAGGAAACAATTCGGTTTGCACAAACCTTTGATTTACATGCCATTTTCAAATAATCACTTTTTCCCCTGTCACTTTCAGACCGTGTCTTCGATATTTGGGCAAGTAAGGGCCTTTCTACTTTGAGGGACTTGTATGAAAAAGAAATCTTCTCCTCTTTCTCTTCTTTATCAGTTAAATTCAGTCTTCCTAATAGCCATCTTTTTCGGGGTTTTTTCAAGTGAGGAACTTTATTCAAAAGTTATTTCCCCATTTTCACAATCGGCCCCCTGAATCAGAACTTGATTTAATTCTCACCCTTGACCCTGGTCAAAGACGACTGATATCCGCCATCTATAGTAAAATAATCTCCCTTAATTCATCTCCAGTTGACTCTCTTAAACAAACCTGGAAGCAGGATTTGGGCATCGACAACGAGACGACGAGTGGAAAAACATTCTTAGTTTAATACATTCTTCATCTATCTGTGCAAGACATGCTCTAATACAATGTAAAGTGCTTCACAGAGCTCACTTCACTAATGCTAAACTGGCTAAAATATTTCCTGTCAGAAGTGATGCATGCAACAGATGCAAACAATCTCCAGCCGATCATCTTCATATGTGCTGGTCTTGCCCGATGCTAATGGACTACTGGTCGGACATTTTTAGAACACTTTTGCAGGCCCTTAACACCACCATTGCCCCTAACGCACTGACTGTCCCGTTTGGCCTTCCCCCAGCATCAGTTGTACCATCTACAGTGCACTGCGTCATTGCCTTTACCACTTTGATAGCTAGGCGTGCCATCCTCCTTAAATGGAAACATGCCTCTCCCCCATCACATGAGGACTGGATACTATAGGTATTGCAATGTATCCATCTTGAAAAAATTAGACACTCTACCAAAGGATCACTGAGATCCTTTTACAAAATCTGGAGGCCTATACTGAGTACTATTGAGAATGTAACTAACACCTGGACCTTCTCATTTGAGTCTTTTTGGGAGACCATGTGACTAGACGTCATTGTTTTTTTCATATTTTTATTTATGTATTTTTATTCGCTTATTTATTTTTTGTGTGGCCTTTGGGGAGGGTTGTGTGTTTGTGGTTGTGTTGATTTGTTTTGTTTTGTTTTTTGTTTTCTCTTATCAGACATTCTGTTTCATTATGGAACTGATGTAATACATTCTATATGTCTGCAAAAATTTAAAATAAATAAAATCATTATAAAACGTATCAATCTCAAACCTTTTAACGGTAGTGTGTAAAAAACACTATTTTGCACAATTTTATAATTCATAATACATTTTGTCCCATTAAAACCAGATGGTGCACTTTGTTTATTTACAGATTAAAAAAAAAACACCATAAGTACACAAACATACACATACAAGCACAAGTAAATACAAGAACTCAGAAAGTATACACATCTTGGTCTTACCGCCGATCACTTTCCACTTGCCGGTTCCGAATGCCTCGAGCTGCTTGATCTCATCTGGGCGTTCATCTATCACCTCTGCAATCTAAAAAAAAGGAGAATTTCCAAAAGGAGGAGACATTCAACACTGCTGCATAACCATGCATGAAATCCATTTTCCAAAACCAAAGTAGTACCAAAATACTTTTTTATTTAAATGATCACTAATGATCAGACTGCAATTCGGGATTTATGAAACTATGCAAGTGTTACAAAAGCACCTGGTATGCATTCTCAGTAGGATTTACACTACTTAAATTGCTGTTTGTAGTAAGATAAGACTAAAATCTGAAAAAGGTCAGCATGCTTTTACACACCACAGGCGCCTCATCTTCGTCGTCTTCTTTTTCTTCTTCATCCTGAGCTGCCAGTTGCCGCCAATCAATGTCGTCATCCACAATTTTCATCCTGTAGTTGGAGTTAAATGGATGGAATTCAGCTCCTTGTACACTTTGCTAAAACTTAAGCAACCTTGTTGCCATTTTCAACTTTCTAAAATGCTGTGCATGTAGGCAACTCTGTACGTTAAGTAACTTAGTTGAGGCTCAGCCATAATGTCATTTTGTTCAGTGGTAGCTCTGGATACAGCGAGCTAAAATCTGCATTTCTGTTACGTGTGTCCGATTATATTTACCCTCTTCCCGTGGCTTTCGGCCGTTTCTTCTTAAGCTTCTTTTCTATAGACTTCTTGCCAGCTTCTTCACTTGATAAATACCGTTTAAGGTAATCTGCTTTAGAGAGTGCAGCAATTTTGCTTAAGTCCGTGGAAGTAGCCATCTTGTTTATGTTTTACGTCACTGAACGGACGCTGCTAAGGGACAAAAAGCACAACGCAGTACTAATAAATATATTAGGAATATTATAACAGGTGATACAGCTACTTATAAAAGCTTATTGTGGGCCAATGTATTTAGAAATATAAATTGGAATAAAGCTTGGCGTATTTGTGAAATATACTGTTTAAATAATAAAGTAAAAGAGGTTACATTTTTAATTTTACATGGTATATATCCAGCTAAAAGTGTGTTAGAGAGATTTAATTTGGATATTGATTATTCCTGTGATTTTTGTTCAGTGGAAAAGGAGTTTACACAAGGATTTTCTGGGTGGATATGGAAAATTTCATTAGAAGGAAAACAAATATTATATTCAAGTTAAATAATTTTGATATATGTATGTATTATTCCAGTGAAAGTAATAATAATACTTTTACTTTATTTGTACAACTTTTTATTATTTTGGGAAAATTTCACATACATAAGAAGAAATGGTCAGGATCCAGGCCAAATTTCATTCATTTTCTTCAAGAGACTAAGGACTACTGCACCAGTTTGGAGAACATTGTTAATAAAAAAGCAAAGAAGACTTGTAATATTTTTCACGAATATAGAGTTTTTGATTAATGAATGAATGGTTTGTACACTCTGGCATGTTTTTGTAAAATATTGTATATTTTGTTCTGGTTAATTAAAAAAAATTTAAAAAGCACAACGCAAAATAGAACTCGAAATTCTTTACCTGCCTGTATACCAGGGGTAGTGATGTGACGTTCGGCACCGAGGCTTCGAAGCTTGTATCAAAAAAGACGAAACATCTCACAGTGAAGCACTGTACCAGAGCTTGATTCATTTTGCCACAACCAAGTGATCTGTGACGTCCGAAGCTTCGTTTTTGCACACAACCACGTGTCATTCACTTCTTTGATAAGAATAAATCATAATACGAATAAAAATGTACATGTGTAGTTTTGTCCATGTTCAGATTGTACAGAAACACTTCAACTGAACATTCCACAAAATTCATTTATTTTGATCATATGCCTGCATAAGCCATGCTTATTTTTTCACATATTTATTCAAAGACTCGTTTATACTTTGTGTAAGCACAATGACATTTAATTTTTTTATTGCTTTATATGGTTTTCGTAGCACAAATTGATTTGTTTTTATGAAACAGTCCAAAAATGGTTGGGACGCAAAGGCACCTTTTTCCACCTTTAACCACAAGATATCAGTAGTGTGCAGCGTATTGAAAAGCTTCAAGTAATGAACCATTTTACCATACAGTTGAGGGGAAAGTGGTGCTTCGCAAAGCTTCATTTCACCATCACTAACCAGGGGTCACCAAACTCTGTCCTGGAGGGACCCCGGTGTCCAGCAGAGTTTAGCTCCAACTTGCCTCAACACACCTGCCTGGAAGTTTCTAGTATGCTTAAACTCTGCAAGACACCGGCCCTCCAGGCCCGAGTTTGGACACCACTGCTGTAGGCTATACGGTTTAGGAATAATAAATTAAGTGGATAAAATAGAAAAAACTCTGGCTTCTTCGACAAAAAATGTTTCTGCCCAAGAAAATTACTGAAGATTATTCATAACTGTTAATCTTACAAAGTTTATTGAAAGTATTTCACCCAATTGCTGCTTTTGTCATTTTAAAGAAATAATTACTCACTTATTTTGGAATTGTGTTTTGCAAAGGTGTTTTGGGTTAACTTTTCTAATTTTGTAAAAAAGGATTCCCAAACTTCTGTATAAGCCATTTTTTCGTGACTCTTTGAGAATTGACCCTATAGGCCTATGTTTAGAATGATTTTATTAGCCTACTAAAACTTGCAATTATTATTATTTTCAACAAAGATGTTTCAACAAAGTATATTCAATGGTGTAACACATATAATATGCTTTAGTTCATTTCAGAATTTCATGTATCATAACCCTCTTACAATATTTTGTTTATTGTCTTTTTGCTTGTTATTGTTGTATTCTTTTGCCCTGTTGCAAAAATATGTTTTGTTTTGTAGTTTGCCAAGTGACATTCTCAGCTCTCTGCATTAATTGTCAACTTTGTGCATTACGAATCAGCAGACAATTATAGGTTAATGATAAATATATAGTTAATAATACATTTAGCCTAAATATTAATAAATGTAATTATTTGACTGGTGATGAGCAGAAAAGAGAGAACTTTAGAACTTGTTATGTCACACACGTGGTAATATATTTCCAATAAATACAACCAATGAATACCTTTTTGATCACCATAATTTGAATTAGGTACCATTAGTATTTGTTGTTAAAATTAGATGTTTGAATAGTTCCAAACATCAATATGTTCATCTCTGAATAGGTTCAGCTCATGATTCATGTTTAAAGTGTGTTGTGAAGAATATCTGTCTCCTCTAAGAAATAAACTCTGTCGACATTTCCGATAGTTGTTTAACTGCAAGGTCACAGCCTTTTCACAAATGCATATGCCTCTATTTTCACATGCAGAGGATATTTTCCAGGAAATGTCTTTTGGACTGAATCACTTCCTCTGATCTGCAGCTGCACGGCATCTCATTGAAAAGACAAATAATCTTACTCTCATTTCTTTTTATATCTTTGTACTTTCTGTTTCATATTTTCATACACAAAATATGATTATATTAATTTCAATTACATTTACTAATCAACTGGTGATTATTTTATCATTGACCTCTGATTATTACTGTGTTTCAAAACTTATTTACACAACACAAACTTGTGCTAATGCTCTGTTAAATAAAAAAAAATATGTTAACGTTACAACTGTAAAGCTATTATAGTTAACTGTACAACTATAATAATGCCAAAGCGATTTTAAAGATGTCAATAAGACGATGACAGTGAGGGGTACAAATAAACTCTAAACTGTGAAATCTTCATCAAGATTTTCATTTTGAAATGACCACATTCTGCTGCTCTCTGTCAGCTGTAAAATCTGTTTCTGGTTGTATAAGACTGTTTTTTTCCGAAAGAAACGAAACTTAAGGTTTGGGGGTTTCCATCTTGTCGAAGGAGTGGCTTCAAGATATTCCCCACTTCTTAAGCAGCTGTTTGCACAGTCTGAATTTGTCATCCAAGAGGTAAGCATCATATTTCTCTAAACTTTTACACTAAAAGCTATCGACAGACCTCTTTACCTTCACCAGCACCTCTTTATACAACAGCGGATGAACAGGTTTGTTCGCTTTATCTAGATTTCAGCATGTGGGCAGAGGATGATTTGTATCCAGGTGTGCCGTGTCTCCAAAGCTACATGGAGCCTGTGAATGGTAAAATATACCTAATGTATCATGGGACTTCTCGATATACTGCACAGCAGATTATGGCCTGTGGCTTTTGGCCATCTGCAAATGGCATGCTTGGACAAGGCGTCTACCTCAGCAGAGATCTTAACAAGGCCAGCAGATACCCACTTAATCTACCTGAGCATGAAAGAGTTGTTATTAGAGTGCAGGTTAATGTTGGAAGAGTAAAAAAAATCGACTACCAAGGTCATCCAATGCAGAAAACCTGGCATGACCACGGGTACGACACTGCCTGGTGCCCTCCAAACTGCGGCATGGTGCCAAGCGGCCTGGAGGAAGACTGTGTTTGGGATCCACGCCGGATTCAGATCATTGATATCATTTACCCAAAAGTGCTGTGTGGCTATTATTATTAAAAAATGCATGAAATTACAAATGTGCTGGTTCTTTTTCATGTTTTTAAAGAATAAACATTTTTGTCGATTTAATCTCTGCATTGATGAATAACACTTGCACATTGTCTTTGCATGCTTGTGTTGAAAATCAAGACTAAAATCAAGGTTGTTACAAAACTGTAAGAAATTACTGGGAAATATTATTTAGTTGACACAGTTCAAATGGTTAAAAAAGTTATCTAATGCAAAATATAAACTGTGCATTTTATTCAAAGCATGAAAGAACTTTGGTCCATAACCAATAGTCAAATTCATCATTTTGAGACACTGACTGCCACATGTCTACTCTTAACACACTTAACACACATTTGAGAGATGTTGTTTACACAGTATTTGTAATAAAATAAAACAAATAAAATAAAATAATGTATTCCGCCCTATTGATGAATCAGGAACTATATTTGGGTTTGTCTAGGAATTTTCTTAATAAAGACAAAACAAGTAAGTCCCAGGACTTGTTTTACCATCAGAAGAAAGTGTTTAGGCCAGAGGAGAACTCTCAAAACAACATCTTAAAATATTTGTGTCATTCAAACAAGGTCTTTCCACACATCTGCCAACTTCCCTGATTTGTTACTTTTTGTGCCACAGATCTGTCTCACCTCCCATATATTTACAGAGTTGTGTCTCTGTGTGGGATTCTCCTCAAGGTTATAAAACATCTTCACATTCCAGCTAACTTAGATCTTAACAAGCTTTAATCATTTTTAGCTCTGTTTATGTACAAAAATAATTATGTTTATATTCATGTTGGAATGATTTACATAATGTTAAAAGAAATTTAAATAATAATGTTACTAAACTAAAATCTAAAATGTCTTCTTGTGTTTCTCATTATGAAATGAAAGACTACTGAAGTGATATTAGTTACCAGCACGGATATAGTTCTTTGGGCCATTTCCTTCCAGAGTTTTATTTGGAAGTTCCCACATCCCAATTTATGCCTGCTTATTTGTATCGTTTTGTCAGTCTCTGCAGTCTTTTTTAGCCTAAGTCTTATTAGACTTGTTTGCATTCTGTTGGATTTGACTTTAAATAAAAATCGCCTTATAGCTGTTATGTCCACACTTGAGTCATTTCACCATCCATGGTTTATACTTTGTAACCAGGAACTTCATGGTAACTGGCATACCTACAAACCTTCAAGTATCTGAAGACTGATAATGTTGACCTACTCTTTACAGGAATGATGTGGGCTGGCCAAGAAATAAAACATCTTTGGAGAACATGAGTTGTGCACATTCAAGAAGTCTGTCCAAATGTTCTGAGAGTGAAGGTTAATGTTGGATAAGTGATTGATTATCAAGGTGCCTGAATCCCCCACAAAGTGGCATGGTGGCAAGTGGTCTTGAGCAAGAATGTGTTTGGAAACAAATTACAGTCATTGATGTAATTAATCCAAATTAAAGAGTAGGCCTATGTGGGTTGTTATGAGCAATGAAAATCCTAACATACATTTTATCCTAAAATCTAATGTTTTATTGAGAATTCGATCATTACAGTGTGCTCTGCTGACTATTTCTTACAACACTGGAGAAATAAAATAATGACAAATAGTTTTGAAGCAATGTAAAAAGAAATATTAATGCAAAATTGTTTTGGTAAAAACATATGTTAATATATAAATAAAAATAAAGAAAATAAATAAGAAAATATCTTGTGTAATAGCTAGTGTTGTCTTGTCAAAAGAGTAAGGTCAATTCTGTTCCTTTTGTCTTTACCTGGAAAATGTAGTGGGGGGGGGGGGAATTATAAATAATTATAAAATCAATGAATTCATATTGGACTGAAAAACAATTTGCCATCTCAGTTCAGAAGCACACCGCCAATGAATACTGCAACTAGTATCTTGCTAGCTGTACTTGGTTTTGGACTGATTGGCTGCAGCGGTGTGGTGACGTCTCTTTATAATGATGATTGACAGTGTGGAGGGCCAATGGCGATTATCTAAGAAAGTGAAAGTAAAAGAGAGAGCAACCCGTGCGCTTAAAGAGAGTCCCTTTATCCTTTATTTTTTACTTTCAGTAAGTGCTATCATTTTAAATATGCCTGATCAAATGACAGCTCGACGTATTCGTATGTAAGCCCTCGGCTACACTGTTTAAGGCAATATTGTAATGTTTTAACTGGTCTAGAGTCTAAAAGTTTGTTGAAGTTCCTGTAATTTAAAGGATATACTGTAGGCATTTCCCGAGAACAAATATCACGTAAATAGCTTGATTGAATTTGAGAGTTGGTAAGTGAAATTTCTCTATATAAGAGAACGCAGAGATAACATTATGTAAATATCAAATTCTTTTTGGTAATTTTGTTTTTATTAAACTTGTGATAGTATAAATCTTCGTATTATGTTTATTGTTTACATGCATATTTTAAAGATACAGACAAAAGGCCTATTTGTGATTTGTCCAGGTGCAAATCATGTGGGGTGGAAATGATTCAACTTTCCTCCAAGGCAACACAAATCCAGTATCAGGTCAAGTCTACACAATGTACCATGGCACATCCATGGAGGCTGCAAAGAAAATTAGAAAAGAGGGTTTTCATCAGTCTGTTGCTGGCATGCTTGGACGGGGTGTTTACCTCAGCCGAGATCTAGAGAAGGCCCGTAGGTATCCTCTAAATCTGCAAGCATACCAGAGAGTGGTTCTGAAAGTCAAGGTCAATGTTGGGAGAGTGAAGAAGATTGACAAACAAGGTCATCCACTCCAGAATATCTGGCATGATCACGGGTACGACACTGCCTGGTGCCCTCCAAAATGTGGCATGGTGCCGAGTGGCCTTGAAGAAGACTGTGTTTGGGATCCACAACGGATTCAGGTCATTGAAATGATCTACCCATTTTTAGAGGTTGTTTTACCCTGTCTGTTCTTTTTGTTACTGATTCTAATTGAAATACTAACATAGAACTTACAGGAAGAAATTACAGGACTATGTAGCCAAAGTGTTTTTAATTCTTCAAAGAAAAATAGTCTGTCATCACTGTTTTTGTGTATTAAACGTATGATCACATATCCTCTGTCACACTGTACAGTATGTAGGAGCCATTTTAATGCAATATCATATTTGTCCATTGGGTGGCATGGTATATTAGGGTAATTGGTTAATAAGACAACAGGCGTGAATTGGTAGTAGGGAAGCACAGTTTTTGACAGTTCAGGATCATGCTTCATCATGTTGATCATGCTTATTTTTATTATGTGTTGGACTGAGTTGAATAGTATGCTATATCTACGAGGTATGGACTTGATATTTGTATTCTGTGAACTAGACAATGACACCACAGGAAGCTAACTGGAAGCAATGTTTATTCATTGGAGCACAATAAAGAAAGACACTGTTTGCATTTTACATCTGTTTTGCATGGACATTTTTATGTGTCAAATACTCGCTCACTCCTATTACCAATACCAGCGGCTTAGTGGAAAGCTGCTACATAATGATCAGAAGCTTTGTATTTATTGGCTTATTCACAAATCTTTATCATTAGAGGGTGTGATTATCTGTAGACAGACTAAGCATTTACAGGGATGCATGGGCTGAGATTGAAATTATTTCTGATGTAACATGAGGGCAAATCTAAAAACCATGGCAATTAATGAACGGAAAAGGAAATATGAACTATCACAGGAAACAGTGCAAAATTCAGTCCAACTCAAAACAGAACTTAAATACAGATGACCCATTACACTTCTCTTGTTGTTTGCATTTTTTTCACTTGTGATTCGTCATAAAAGACCCTCTGCTACGTGCTTAAAGATGAAAACTCTTGAAAAATATCTGATAATTAGGTCTGGAGTCTGGAGACTTTTAAAATAGTGCAATTCATCACTGCATTTTATTGTAAAACTGCTTATGCATGTGTTGTTCTGCTCACTGTGACATTTCAGACTCCAACACAGCAAAATACAGTTGAGTAAAACAAACAAACAAACTGGGGGGAAAATATTTATACTTTTCATTTAAATGTTTTGTTTATGGACTTGGAGAATCATACTAGTCTCTTTGCTTTTGGGGGAGAAAGCAAAGAAGCAACATGCTTTTACCAAATGATCCCACAGACTTTACAGCACTATCCTTTACTAAATCCATAAATTTGTAATCTTTTGTAATCTTTTCATTGCAGTTTGTCAAGATAAAGAGAAAAAAAGTAGAATCTCTTTTGTTGTCAATACTTCCTATACAAGCTTGCTGTTCATAAATCTTTTCCAGGTAGTCTATGTTCAGTGTTAAAAGCAACATCAGAGTTTTCTTCAAGACTGTTCATAACATTTTAAAATCAGTTAAAGGTAGACTGGCCCAATTTAAATCAGAAAAGTACTACTGATTACATCTTGGCTTACTGCTAGTTGGTGGAACTTGTTCTTAAGACACAGTCTGAACATAGTGGCTATGTTTATGCAACTGGCAACTGATGCTTGTTTATAAAGCTTAAAACTCTTATAAAGTCTGTACATCTTATAATTGTAAGACTTTTTTTTAAATTACGGCTATACTTTATAAATTAATTAGTTGTTTCCTTATCATATCTCCCTCTGTTTTTGTATGTTTGCTTACTCATGGTTATCTTCCATGTTTTCACTAATAGAATACTAAGACCATTTGTGGTCCAGCCCTTACGAAAAAGATGTTTATTCAAGTGTGCTATTAGTATACTTTTAAACTAGTATACTTTTAAACTAAAGATAGGAAAGTATACTTTTAGTCTACTTTTTATGTACTTCTCAGAAATGTGCTTTATGTACTTCTCAGAAATATACTTAAAATGACATTTAAGTATACTTGACTTATACTTAGAAAAGTCTAAATATATTTGAGCTATACTTGTGCTCCGTGAATCCATGTTTTCATTGTTATCCGGTAGGAGGCGCTATTACACATCTTCTGTACAGAATTTCCAAAACACAAGCGAAGAAGAAACCAAAACAACAGATGCTTCCACATGTAATAATCTAACATGATCATCAGACATGAAACAGCAAAACCGCAAACTGTTTAACATTATGGAATAAAATGTCGACCCATGAATAGGTAATGACTGTCAAGCTTTGGGGAGTTGATCGACTCCATCTACGTTTTGATTATCCCTCTGAATCCAATTCATAATCTTTTTTCAGTTTTTTGTTCAAAATGTTTATTTATTTATTTCTTTATTTTTCACGCATTCAAGTGTTTATAAAAAAGAATGCATGACGCTAGAATAAAATGTTTTTGTTTACAAGCAGATACCCTGTTCTTTCTTTTGATGTTTGTATGTTCAGATATTCATATAACAAAATATATACAAATTAATACCTAAATAGGGACATAGTAGTATACTTAAAGTACGATGTAAAGTTCACTTAAAGAAAACTTACGAGTATACTTGCAGTATAAAACTTCTAAACTAGTACTTTACTGAGACTATTCTTCAAGGTTTACTAAAACTGCTACAAGTATTTAATTAGTAAACTATCAGTATACCTATAAGTTCACTTTTAGTATAGTTGCAGTACAAACTAAAAACATAGATGTAAACTAGTTGTGTACTCAAAGTTTACTACTGTTATACTTAAAGTATACTTAAAAGTATACTTTTATATACTAGAAAGTGGGCCAATTTAGTCCCAATGAGTATTGAAATAGTACACTTACACTTAAAGTAGGGGAAGTTGTGGCCTAATGGTTAGAGAGTCGGACTTGTAACCCAAAGATTCTCGTTCGAGTCTCGTACCGGCAGGGATTGTAGGTGGGGGGAGTGAATGTAGAGCGCTCTCTTCTACCTTCAATACCACGACTGAGGTGCCCTTGAGCAAGGCACCGAACCCCCAACTGTCTTTACTGCTGTGTGTGCACTTTGGATGGGATAAATGCAGAGCACTAATTCTGAGTATGGGTCACCATACTTGGCCACATGTCACTTCACTTTCACTTTCTAAAGTATACTTCAAAATATACTTGAACTTTAAGTATACTTAATAAAATAAACTTGAAGTATACTTCTTTTTGATAAGGGAGGTGCAAACATGGCGAATTAAATTTACTCTGGGCCAGCTGTTCCACCATGTCTTAAGAGCTGTATGGCACCAGAAGAGGGCAAGTACTACTTAATGTGTCATGGAAGGAAGGCTATGCAAAAAAATTTTGAGGAGAGTTTCCGTCAGTCTTCTGATGGCATCCTCAGACGTGGCCTCCAGATACCCTCTAAATCTACCTGTTGGGAGACTGAAGAAGATTGACTATGGTCATCCACTGCAGAAAACCTGGCATTATCATGGCTACTACATTAACTGGTGCCCCCAAACTGTGGCATGGTGCCAAGCGGTCTTGAAGACGACTGTGTTTGGGATCTAAGATCCCAAACTTATCTGTTTGAATCTTATCAGGTTAGTTGTATTTATTGTTCTTTATCCTGCCATGTTCAAACATATTCTGTCACAGCTGTGTAAATGTTACTGATTGAGTTATGAATTTCCAGGGAAACAGTCCTCTAAATCAGAAACAAAACTTAAATGACATTGAAACTTGGATTTAATGGAAAAGGGTGTATACTGTAGTTCTTATTTTCATTGCGCTATTGCATTGTGAATTAATTAGAAATATTCATATCATATCACTTGGAAGTTCACATATTTTATAAAGTTAATGCTTGACTTTATGAAAGTTTGACAAAGGTTTCATCATACCCTGTTTACTGTATATTTATCAATATTTTGTATTAGAGTCTCTCTGCTATTGGATGTTGGAATAAACAAAAAGACAAAACGGTTTTACCAAAAAGTCTTCTAATCAGTTTTATAATTGTATAGTCTTTTAATTTCATAAACTTAAAATCAAATAATCAATAAACTTTACAGCACTATGCTTTACAAATTCTGAGCATAAATTGTTCTCACAATCAATAATAGATGAAGAGAAATTGAAACTCAATGGAACACCTTTAGACATGGACACACCCTGAAATATGAACCATTTATATACCTGCTTTCAGAGAGAAGCAATCAGCTTTAGAAGCGACATTAGAGGTAAGGCACCACTTTGTCTTTGTGGAAATGCTGTGCTTTATTGGTCATTATATTGATAGATCCTAAAAAATTCCATAGTGATATTATTTTATACTATAAATATAAACTACTGTATTTCTTAATTCCATTTGTCAGTTTGCTAGTAAACTTTAGTAAAATTTCTAATTGTAATGTTTTTCTATTAATTTCTATTAATTTTTCGATTTGATTTGTCCAGGTGCAAACATGTGGGCTGAAGATGACTTGGGTCCAGGTGCTCCACCATGCCTTGAGAGTTACAGAGAACCAGCAGACAGTAACATTTATATAATGTATCATAGCACATCCAGGGAGGCTGCTGCAAGAATTAAATGGGAGGGTTTTCGTCAGTCTTCTGATGGCATGTTTGGGCCTGGTGTCTACCTCAGCCGAGATCTACAGAAGGCCTCCAGATACCCTTTAAATCTACCTGAGAATCAGAGAGTGATTGTGAGAGTAAAGGTCAATGTTGGGAGAGTGAAGAAGATTGACTATCAAGGTCATCCAATGCAGAAAACCTGGCATGATCAAGGGTACGACACTGCCTGGTGCCCTCCAAACTGTGGCATGGTGTCAAGTGGTCTTGAAGAAGACTGTGTTTGGGATCCAAGACGAATCACTGTCATTGATGTAATTCTTCCAAACATGTGGGCTGAAGACGACTTGGGTCCAGAAGCGCTGCCATGTCTCGAGAGTTACAGAGAACCAGCCGATGGTCAAGTCTACAGAATGTATCATGGCACATCCAGGGGAGCTGCTGAAAATATTAAACGGGAGGGTTTTCGTCAGTCTTCTGATGGCATGTTTGGACCTGGTGTCTACCTCAGCCGAGATCTAAAGAAGGCCTCCAGATACCCTCTGGATCTACCTGAGAACCAGAGAGTG